ACACACACACACACACACACACACACACACACACACACACACACACACACACACACACTTTAGTCACTTAAGACACAATACTTGTAACACACTAATTTATAAGAGTATAATTCGAATTATGGATGTAAATATTTTATACTATTTCATTTCTTTTTCTTTTGTTATCTCCCTTTCTGTTGAAGTCTGTCTCCTTGCACATGTCATAAATACAATACCTCCACTTTGGCCTCTCAGTTACAATATCCTTCCATTTGCGGAGCACATCACCTCATTTCAGAATGTCATCTATCTAAGGAAGCCAACAGATTGCACCAAATCTTTKCTTAAGTGCAGTCTCCCATCCTGAGCAGCACAGTGGTGACAGTTTGGAACAACTCCCTTTTTAACAGAAATAAAACTCTCCAACAGAACCAGGCTCAGTGGCCATCTGCCTTGGCTGACTGGGGTTTGAGAGGGCAGGGAAGACGTGCAGAGAAACACAGAGCCAATGGTCCAGGTGTCAATTCTCTGGGAAGAAAGGCAAATAAAACCCCACATTTTTGATAGAAATAATTACAAAAACTAAACRTGGAGAGTAGAGCWAGTAAAGAYGGCAGCCGAGTGAGGAGWTGTGGTCAGTTTGTMCTCCAGCAGTCTGAGCCTGAAGCAGCACGAGAAGTAAACCTGCTGTTTGAGTTATAAATTTAGAAAAATGAAGCCAGATTAACACGAGAAACAACTGAGATGGCACTGAAATATTTTGTCCACTGATGATGATGATAAGAAAAAATGGGTCTCCATTCCTTCATGAAGTACTTCATGTGACTCAATAATTTCTACTAATTTTCTTAATTAGTTCGTACTTTTTATCAGACTTGATTGTGCGTTATTTCTGTGTTTTTGTTTTTTAGTCCTTTATTTGCTTCTCTTTTCCCACATATTTTGTCAAAACACTTTAATATACATGAATTCATCCTCTACAAAGTTACTATTTCTTTTTTTTTTGCTCTCTTTGAATTGTTCATCTAATATTTAGTTTAAATGAATAAACTCAAACCAATAATGCTAAATAATGAATATGACATAAAAAGCATTTACCWGCTGCAGTTAATTTCTTTTTTCAATTTATTTGAATGTTTTAAGTTGTTTGAAACCAAACTGTGTATCTATAAATGTGATTGTGTGTATTCTCCCCAAATGAATCCTATAATTTGATCTGGAGTCACTTTAAACAGCATGTTGTCAGTATAAACCTCTTAGATTKGATTGTTGCTCAAAAGTCCAGCTGAGTGTAGTTTTACTTCTATAAAGTCACCTTCAGCTGTTTACCCTTGATTGCATGTTAAAAGTCTTTTCTCCTCTGCATCTGTATGCTTAGTAGGGATGTGTGTTGTGGGTGTTTTGTAGGATCCATTAACAAGTATTGGATTGACAGGAGCCCAATGTGAATACATCGTGCTTTCCAAAAAGGAGAAAATGCATTCAATAATTTCCCTGTGGGCTCTCAGACTGAAGGTGTTTTTCACAAGTTTAAAGTGTAATAACTCAAGAAGCCTGTTACAAAGAGGAACATATACGTACAAAAGATAATCTCCCAACTCGGGTCYCATTTAGCTTGGAGTCTTCTTCACCTTGAGTTAGTCCGTTCAATTCATTATGCTCAACATAAAAAACTCAGAACCTAAATGTAATGGCGCCTGGACTTCAAATACGATGATCTTCAGCTTTCWTAGAGTTTAGTCCTTGACCTATTTCTTAACCTCATATAATATTTATTTGGTCAAAGACAGTTTCTTTTTTGAATCAGTCACTGCATCAATTCTTAAGAAATAAGTCACTTTTTCATGAAGTGTATTTCTCTGGACAGTGAGCTGCCCTTTGGGGGTAAATTAAACCCAGCTTCAGTGATTTTGTTATGGAGCTGTCAAAAGGTACAAGATAAACATCACTTTAAATTTTACAATAAGGGCATCAACCCAAAGTTAACTATTCTGGCGACGTTTATAATAATACACCTTTTATTGTTAAGTTTAAACAAATTTAAATTACATTGATTGCAGCAGCAGAAAAGGCTCGGTCCCCTAGGGTACGATGTTTGGTCCTGATGGGGGTCAGAAGGTTAGAGTCAGAGGAATGGAGATGTGGGTAGGAGAGTAATGATGAAGCAGGTTGGTGAGATACGTGTGTGTGTGTGTGTGTGTGTGGGGGGGGGGGGGGGCTTGTTGAGGGCTTTGTAGGTGATGAGTATTTTGTATTGTATGCGATGCTGAACAGGGAGCCAGTGACGATTTTTCAGAACAGGAGTGATGTGGTTGGTGAGAAGGCGGGCAGCCGAGTRTTGGATATACTGCAGCTTTTGCAGATGTGTAGATGGAAGTCCATAGAGAATGCTATTGCAATAATCGAGTCTTGAGGTTATGAAGGCGTGGATAAGTATTTGAGCAGTTTGAGCAAATAACTCCGTTTCCACCACTCAGCCATATCATCAATCACTTCACTCTGCAGACCAGACTGAAAAGATTTATGACAAATGTGTGCTCATAAAGGAACATAAAGTAGGAACTTGGCTGTCCTATGAGAGGAAGGGGACATAAACACATTGTTTTTGGGTGAAAAAGGTTCTCAAACACAATCCTGGAATAAAATCAATATAAATGGTAATGGCTGACTTCACAATTTGCTCCTCTAATTATTGATGCAAATAAAGTTTACATACCTCCCAGTTCTTACAGTCAGAAAATGTTTTGCCCATTAAATCCTAATGTGTGCAATAAAAACAATAAGGAAACTCACTTCATGCAATTTCTGCAAAAAAGTCTTTTAATTCAAGGAATAGGCAAACAAATATAAATCACCCTCCTTTTTTCTCTTATTTGGTTTGGTGGGGATGGGGTCTCATTATGGACTGTGAAATAATTCTCATTCGWGACCAGAGCACCATGGATGGAGCTGATAAAAAAAGAAGAAAATGAAGGTAAATTAAAAAAACAGGTTTGCAATCAAAACATTCTAGTAATGTCTTCTTTGCGTGTTATAATTGGAATATTGCAGCACCTTGACTCTTTTCCCGTCCACACACCGTCTGCTGATCATTGCACCGCCCTGCAGCTACTAAGAGAATTATTTCAGGTGCAAAATGTCAGCAGTAACCTGAGGAGATCTCATTGCATGGTTCGTGTTAATAATCTCTGAGCTAAATGTTGCCCTTTCTAGAAGTGAAACTCCAATGAATAGACTGTAGATGGAACAGTAACAGCAGCAAAAATCWGTTTGCAGTGCACTTCAGTGATTTACATGGTTTTCAGGACCACAGATGGGAGAGTGTCCGCTGTTAAACTGTCTAAACCTCAGTAATTTATACAATAAGAATAATTTTATTTCATCTGACTTCAAGTTATTGTGAAATAGTGTTTAGTTTAGTTTAGTTTAGTTTAGTTTAGTTTAGTTTAGTTTAGTTTAGTTTAGTTTAGTTTAGTTTAGTTTTTCTGTGCAGCGTTAAAAGAAGACCTCAGATATGGAGTTGTTGAAACCCCAGCTTAACCCTGAATTTTCATTCTTGCTGCTTTACTTTCATCCCTGAAAAGCATGAAGCATCCCTACCTGTAAAGTCACAGCAGCCTTTTTGAAAGACTTTAAATAGAAGTACAATGCATCTAAAAAAATATAATAAAAATAATTAGCTTGTGTTTATCATCAGTTTGCATTGATGCTGCACCAACAGTAACTCAAGTGAACATTAAAGATTTGCTTGAAACCTGTAGAGAACAAACTATTTACAGTCATATGTGTCTCTGTTGTTTCACATGATACTGTTACCTCGATGTACATATGACACTCTGTTCTGCCTCGCATTAATTACCTTCCTTTTGTGGGATGTGCTTTTATGTTTCAGCTTTGGGATTCAGCATGATGGCCACGGTAATGACTGTGAACCCATTGGGAAAGGACCTTTTGTCATGTCTCCTCAGCTTTTGTATGGCACCTTCCTGCCCAGGTGGTCACGCTGCAGCCGTCAGTACATCACCCGCTTCCTGGAGTAAGTACAACAGAAAGTATTTTATTTAAAAAAAATAAAACTCAGTATAAGTATTTTATGTTTCATATTTCTTATTCAATCCSTGTTTTCAATGGTAAAGACAAATGTGCCATTAAAGCTGCAGTAGGTAACTTATAAAATCTGTTAAAACTGTCCTGACCGTTGGATATGAGACAGATAATTTGTGAGAAAATAAAGCTCCTCTGGCTCCTCCCAGTGGTCCTTCAGCCATTTGCAAAACCACACTGCTCCCGGTCAGAAACAACCAACAAGAGRTAGAGGGTTGTCTCATCTGCAGTTTAAATTGTGTAGTTTGATAAGATGCTTGTGGCAGCTTTTAAATGCATAATGTTGATAGTATAATGTTGTTCCCCTTAATGGGGAAGAGCTAGTACGCCAGTCATTTCAATGCCCTGAATGTTTCATATGGTCGTTGCATTTGGCCACTTCATTATCACCCCTTGAGGACCCTCTTCACCTCGGGGTGCTAGATAAATGTCTACCTGTTTGCCAAATTGTGACACATTGGATTGTATGCTGCAGCTGGGAGAACGAATGTCCCAAACAGGTTACTTCAATTTGGTGTAAAATATGAGAGCAGACAGTGTCCCTACAAAGCCAGGAGCCAGGCAGAAAGAGAAATCACACACACGACAGGCCCTGGAGCAGTGTGGTTATCCTGACTGGGCTTTCYTGAAAGCAGACAGGAAACACAGACAGGAYTCCATGCAACCTTCAGGTGAAAATGAAGACCCCAAACCCAGACCCAAACCAGTGGTTATTCCGTATGTTGCGGGTGTTTCGGAGAAACTGAGACATTTATTTTCTAAACATGATGTCCCAGTAGCTTTCAAACCTCAAAACACATTACGGCAAAGGCTGGTTCACCCCAAAGATCCGGTGCCCCGGCACAAACAGAGCAATGTTGTATATGCTGTTAAGTGCCAGGAGGACTGCGACCAGTTATACATCGGGGAAACAAAGCAGCCACTGTTCAAAAGAATGTCCCAACACAGACGAGCTACATCTAATGGCCAGAACTCTGCAGTTTTCACTCATTTACAGGCCAGCGGTCACTCTTTCAGAGATGAGGATGTTCTCATTCTTGATAGAGAGGAACGTTGGTTTGAGAGAGGAGTAAAAGAAGCCATTTTTGTGAAGAAAGACCGTCCATCATTAAACAGAGGTGGAGGCCTCCGTTTTCAGTTGTCCCCCTCCTACAGTGCTGCTATTGCCAGTATCACTCCACCCCTGTTAACAATAAGTGTTAATTAGGGGTCAACGATAGCCATGTGATGTGAGTATCAGTCACATGGAGGCAGKGCTTAAAAGCCTGAATTTTGCCTGAAACTCTCAGACTGAAGAAGTCTCTTGGAGGAGAGACGAAACGTTTCATTAGAGAAGAACCCGTCCAGAAGACCTACACATTTTTTTTTATTTTTGGTGTAAAATATGGGTCATCCTGTCTATGGGACAGTTAAATATTAAATGGACTGAACTTATGTAATACCTTTCTATCAGTCAGGATACTCAAAGTGCTTTACACTACAATCTGTGTCCTCAGTTGGCAACCCTTGGGCAGCTTTGAAATTAGTGCTTACTGGTCTAATCCAGTGGTTTCCACCCTGATTCTCAAGGAACCCTATCCTTTGTGTTTTACCCRTTTCCCTGCTATTCAGCAGGTCTTCAGAAGACCAGGATCAGGACCAGAAGGATCAGGGTTGGAAATCACTGCTTTAAATGTTGACATCAAGAGCTTCTCTGAGCTTGATGAGACAYTTTCAAAATATAATATTGACTTAGTTTTATGGTTTTTAGTATTGCCTCTGGAAGTCATTGATTCTTTGCCATTTATTTTTAAATAATAAATCAAATAACATGTAGCTATTAATCTACTCAGATTCAGTACTTAGTGCTAACATTTATTCACAATGCTAACGTTTAAACTAGCATTATACTATCAAGCTCCTYGGGAGTGGAGAAGCTGAATTTCTGGCTGACTGCTGCTAACTAGTGGTCATAGGTACAACCCAAAAATGAACTGCTGTCATGAAAGTTTACATTTTAAGCCTTAGTTAAATATTGATACAGTATTGGGAAATTAAATGTTGCAGTTTTTCAGTTTATCAATATTTTCTTACACTTGCAATTGGGCCATATATAACTCAATAAATTTTTCACAGGTATTGCACTGAAATCTGGTTGGTAGTAGCAGAGACTGATCCTAAAACATGTTCTGAGTGTTAGAAACTGTGCAATAYTGTCTAAAATGTTGCCATTAACTCCTAAACATAAACTTTAATGTACATCTACAACAAMATAACTTTATGAGGAAGCCCGACTCAAGCTGGCTACGACCGTGGAAATCTCAAACATAGTTATAACTCAGTCAGTTTTACAGATAATGAATCTATAATAGGATCTGGTAGGAGCTGAGAGTAATTTACAACACATATTTTAAATTGTGACATCTTGCAATATTACATAAGATCATGCAAAAAAAAAGTTTTCATTGTTGGACCAAAATGGCTATCAGCTATTCTCAGCATCAATAAACCCTGGTTGCTGCTGGCAAAGTGAATACTTCTGTAGTAAACTTGCTTTGAAATTGTCACATATGTATTCATCCTTTTGGCTTAGATAAAGATATGTTGAAGTGTTAGATGTGGAAAATATAGTTCTTATAGTTCCCTCAGATACACAGGAATCTATCAGAATCTGTGTTCACATTGAATTCTTCAAATTTAAACGGTTGAACTCAGATCTTTCCTTTCTGAACTGGATTAAAATGCTACCACCTGTGTTATTRTAGCTGTCACGGGGCTGATTTTCTGCCATTGTTAAAGTGTTCTTGGTGGAAGCACGCTGACGGCTTTCTTTTGACACGACAWATCAGTACGCAATCTCAGTATGCCTTTAAAACCTTATTGTAGTATATAATAGACTCCACTCTTGGTCATTAACAAGAAGTATGTGTTCCAGTTGATTTATTGTATAAAAGGCTACAAGTCATTTTATAATTTGTCTTGTTTCTTCTTGTTTCTGTGGCGACCTGCAGTCACCAGTGTGTATTTTTTGAACAGCAAATAGGCATAAAACCTTCTTCATGTTAACTTTTCTAATCCTGAGAATTCTGTTTATCAGCATGATTTACATCCTTGTGATAATTGCAAAATAAATTTAAATACTCCCTTATCTCATTCCTTACTCCACAGCAGATAAACATGTTTATGCCTCGGTGTGATCTGTTTTAAAAGATGTCTACCCAAACATGGCACTTTCTGTAGATAAGATTTCTGCAGCTGTAATGAAATAGAAAATGCACCACAACAAAGCTATATTTCAAATTTTCCCCACAGAAAAAAGGGGCTTAAAAATGTCACCAAGTTGCTACCTCAAAATTCATCTCCTTGTTTACTAAAAATATTCTGCATTCTTTTAACTCCTTTGGTGTAAACGGCAGACTCTGGTGACACTTCATAACTCATGTGCCGGTGCATCCCCAGCAGAGATGGTAAGAAACTACGTTATGCACATGCTGATCTTCCAAACAACTGCTGCTGGGTGTCATTAATTCTGTCCTGATGCATCTCAGTAATCCAGGTAAAAAAATCAAAAAGAAAAAAATTGTGTAGGTCTTCTGGACGGGTTCTGCTCTAATGAAACGTTTCGTCTCTCCTCCAAGAGACTTCTTCAGTCTGAGAGTTTCAGGCAAAATTCAGGCTTTTAAGCCCTACCTCCATGTGACTGATACTCACATCACATGGCTATCGTTGACACCTAATTAACACTTATTGTTAACAGGGGTTGGAGTGATACTGGCAATAGCCGCGCTGTAGGAGGGGGACAACTGAAAACGGAGGCCTCCACCTCTGTTTAAGTCATTAAGTCATTAATGCTGTGGTGCTGAGATCATGAAGTGCTCTGACTTCTGAGCTACATCAAGGACGAGGGTCTTCAACGTTCATGAGCGGAGTTGTCGCTCAGTGAGTGTTCAGGGACTCACGCTGTTCACCTGCTACAAAGGATTTTATTTCAAAAGCTGGGGTCATTATTTTATTAGCCACTTTTTGGGTTAAGGACAGGAGTGAGTGCTATGTGCATTATAAGTTGAAATAAAAGCAGAATGATTTTTTTACCCCTACTTTTCACTCAGAGATGACAAATTTGTTCTGAATCAAACTGCCACCAATACTCCGAACACTATACTGTGTACTCGTGTGTGTGGCGGGGGGCAGAGAAAAGAGATGTAGAAAATAATTTAAGTCAAAAGATCTTTTCTTTGCTTTAACCCATGGAGATTGTACATAACAACATTTTGAAGATTTTGTCATTTTTCACCACCAAAATAAATGTAAAGTTTTAGGTGGCAGAAAGATGGCAGGTGATTTATAATCCAAGAACACATTTTTTTGGTTGTGTATATGTATATGTGTATATATATATATATATATATATATATATATAAACTGATTTTGGCATGTTCTTTAGGTTTTGCATTTGTTTATTATCCCACGGCAGCAACTAAAACTCAGTCTCTGAAGTATTTTTCTGCATGCTCACCCATTTTCAGTACAGTCTGCATCTCTGTCAGCTTTACAGTCAGCTGCTGACAACAAAGACTCGACTCTCGGCTCCAACCGCACAAGTGTCGAATGTCTGAAGCGTTTCAGTTCGATTGCCCCAGTTACTCAGCTCTGAGCATCTGGAATCCATTTAGAAGGCTCTTCAGCTACATGGCAGAACGGTAGCTTTCAGACTGTACAGGAGTGAGACAAAAAAAGAGCCCCAGAGTGATATTTGCATTGTGAGAGTCACAAAAGCTCATTGTCTGTGTCTTTGTGTGTAACAAAGTGAAAGACAGCTGAACTCAGCTCAAAAAATATATGATATATGAATGTTTTAATTGGGCGAAATTGCTCAACTCTGTTACACAGAATACTTTTGTCTTGCCCAAATGCTAAAAACTGGAACCATTTTGTATTAATCTTGAACCTCAC